TTTTTTATTTTTATGGAAAAGTGAAAGGTGAAGAACTGTGTGACTGGTCTGTCCACACTTCAAACTCTGAGTGTTTATGATCAGAAACAACAGCCTGATCAGGACAGTCTTGTGTAATGTCATGTAGTACTTGAAATTGCAGATTATTTTGAACATTTTGAACATAAAGCTGCACTAAAACACCTAAAATAGACAAGGAACACTCGACAAATAGGATAAAAACACCGTATATACAGTTTAGTTGCAAAACAAAAAGAAAATTTAGGTTTGATTTCCACTTTTGTCATGCTCCGATCTACTTACCGAGTTCTTGCGACACAAAATAAGCTCATATTTTGCATATTCTGTACTCACTTAGGTGACAGTTGCAGCTTCCCTCTTCAGTAATCATTTTTGCCGGTAACATTTGTGCGTTTAAGTAGCGTTTTAGTTCAGATCCATGCAGCCGTGAGCCATGCGCCGGAGACAGAGGAACGACAGGCTTGTGTTTGTTGTTAGAGAAATGCAGGTTTATGAAATATGATGATAAATGCGATGTGTAGCCTGGTTTAAATCTGTACACGATCATGCTGAAAGGTAGATTTAAAGGCCGATTTGTAGAACGTACATACAGCTCGCGATTTAAAGAGCTTCCCGAGAGCTGTGGTGTTTGCCGTGTACGTGCAGCTTTGCCAAAAATTGACAAAACATTGAATTTCCCGTGAACAAAAGGGCTGTAATTGGGTGAACCACAAAGACTATACGGACAAATTATTAAAATAACTTGGAACAGCTTTTGTTTGGCACAGAAATGTCTGTATATGAGCTTAATGTGATAGTTTTTTGTCACAGTAATAAAAAAAAATATATATACCGTATTTTTCGGACTATAAGGCGCATTTAAAATCCTTAAATTTTCTCAAAAATTGACAGTGCGACTTATGTATTCATTCTGGTTGTGTTTACTGACGTCGAACTGATTTTATGTGGTACATGTCGCTCAAAAATCTGTCAAAATGTTTTAGTACGACTTTGGTAAACTACAAAGCCACACCGCTTGATGGATTGGAGCATTATGGATACTGTAGTCCTGAGAATCTGTGTGTCATTTGTTCAGTTGTTTTTCAAAATAAAATCAAAAATAAGAAAATGAAAAAAACAACAGTTTTCTTTATAATTGTCTCCAAAACCAGAATGAAAAAACAGGTAACATTTTTTTTTCAGTTTTTGATTTTGTGTTTAAATGAAAAATGGGAAAAACGGATAATGACCGTTTTCTGTTTCTGTGACTTAAACTGGGATGCCGGACTGAACCAGGACTAAAATAGGTCTAAACCAGGTCTACATTAGGTCTAAACCAAGACTAAACCAGGACTAAACCAAGACTAAACCAGGACTAAAGTAGGTCCAGGACCAGACCGGAACTGAGACAGGACTTAGACCAGGACCAGACCAGGAACAGACCGTGACTGAGACCGGGATTGAGACCAGAACTGAGACTGGGACCAGTCCAGGACTGAGACCGGGACTGAGACCAGGCCAGAACTGAGACTGGGACTGAGACTGGCGCCAGACCAGGACCAGACCAGGACCGAGACCAGGACTGAGACTGGGATGAGATCGTGATTGAGAGATTGACCGGACCGGGACTGACACCAGGACTGAGACCGGTACCAGACCAGGACCAGACCAGGACCAGACCAGGAATGAGACCAGGACCAGACCAGGACCAGACCAGGATCAGACCGGGAATGAGACCAGGACTGAAACCGGGACTGAGACCGGGACTGAGACCAGGACCAGACCGGGACTGAAAACTGTTTAGTCTTGGTTTAGTCCTGGTTTAGTCCCGGTTCAGTCCGTATGCGGTGCAAAAATCCGGCATCACAATTTAAGTCACGTAAACGGGAAACACAAAATCGAAAACTGAAAAAATGAATCATTATTTGCTTTTTCATTTTGGTTTTGGAGACAAATAATGAAGAAAATAGTTGTTTTTTTCATTTTCTTATTATTGGTTTTATTTTGAAAAACAAATGAACACCCCATTACCTATGTTTTTTGTTTTCTTTTTTTCATTTTCATTCAATTTATTAAAAAAACTTTATACATTTTTTGGTTATTTTATCATTTTCTTCATTTTTTTGGAGCAAATTCACACACACTGACCAAAAAAAACGTTCCTATCTTTGTAGAATTAACCACAATCGTTTGCACCCATACCTCCGCTTCTCCTCGCCCACCCGCCGCTCTCCGCTCTCCCAGAAGGCCCTTTAAACTCGCTCTGTGATTACGCGGGGGCATCGTTAGCTAAATGAGCGCATTGATCTGTGCGGATTATTCTGAACGCCGGCGTTAAGTCATTTGTCCGGAGTGGCTCAGGGCTCAGTAAACACCGCCGCGGTAATGTACGCCCGCTCCGAGTGCCCATTGTAAAGACGCTACGGCAGCTTTTAGTGAATTAACCTGGAGAACAGAGGAGGAGGAGGAAGAGGAGGAAGAGGAGAGAGGGACCAGATCAGCAAAAACATTATGACCACTGAGGAGAGGTGAATAAAAGGTTGTTTGGGCAGAAGTGACAGATAAAAATAGAGCCTTGAATCATTTGTAATATGGTGTTCAATAAAATATTGGATTTATTTATTTTGTATGTATTACTATTCATGTATTTATATTTATGTATTGATATATGTATTTATTTTTATTATAATTTATTTTTGTAATGTATTTTTTTTTATATTTATGTAGTATTTTTTATTAATCATTTATTTTATTTATGTATTTATTTATATATTTTTATTATAATTTATTTTTGTAATGTATTTTTTATGTATTATGTATTTATTTAGTTTTTTTATTATTCATTTATTTTTATTTATGTATTTATTATTTATTTTTGAAATGTATTATTTATTTATAATTATGTATTTATTTATTTTGTATTTATTATTATTCATTTATTTTATTTATGTATTTATTTATTTATTTTATTATCTTTTTATTTTTGTAATTTATTATATTTTTATTTTGTATTTATTATTATTCATTTATTTTTATTTATGTATTTATTTATTTTTATTATTATTTATTTTTGTAATTTATTATTTTATTATTTATTTATTTATTTTATTTATTTATAGCATTTGATTAACTTTGAAAGTTTTTAGTAGTTTCATTTTGGTATCCTTGTTTTATTGGATCTTTGCAACAGAGTTTTATTACTTATTTTTTAAGATAATCTAAGACAGACATGTAAACTCAGGCACAGGGGCCAAATTTGGGCCATGATATAATTATATTTGGCCCACGAGATCATATCAAACATGTATTAGAGCTGGTCCACCGGATGCAGGTTATAGAGACATTATTTATTTAAAATGTTGTTATTATTTTATATTCTGCTTGTTCTGGATTCAATGTTTAACCAAAACTATTATTAAACATTTATTTTAATAAGAAAAGGTTTAACATTACATATCTCGAAAGAAGAGAAAACATGTAGATGTTAAATAAATATTTAATTTGGCCCACGACTTAGTCCCAGTTTTTAATTTTGACCTCTGTGAAATTGAGTTTGACACTTCTGGTCTAAGCTAAGGTTGAGCTGTTAAAGCAAATTTCCTGCTCTATATTCATAACTTTACATCGCCCATGTGAGCATCAAAGAAGACATATCGTGCTTTTATTATAATCTATGACACCCGTGGATTATTCTGTTATAATTTAAAATCACAATGACTAGTTTCCACCTTTTTCTAGCCTGATTCATCAGCCTGATTCACTTCGTAGAAACTGTCTGACCTCACAGCATTAGGATTCGTTCGCTCGACAGTAGGCGGGTACTTTTTTTTTATTTAACCAATCGCTGCTGTTTGGTCGTGACGTATGTAATAAGCTTTTCCCAAATCCCGTAGGAAGAAGGACAATAACGTCTTTCCCCTTGATAAAATTCACCAAACATTCTCTTTGTTCCAGCTTTAAATCTTCGATCTCGGGAATCGTTGCCAACACAGAATATATGTCTCTTCGCTGATTTGCCGGTGCCCAAACTCGCACTTACAGGATTTTTGCAAACCGTGTAGTGTATTTTGATTCCTGATCTAGTCGCTGGAGAGAAAGTTAAATTGAGCAGAGGCACTAGGTGAGACCAGCCTGACTAAACACTTACACGATCGAGGAAGAAATTAGTTCAGCTTTAAAATCACAATAAAACACTTACTTACTTCGGAATTAAGTTTAAATCTGAATAATCATTTTCATTCATTAGAATTAAGTGTTTACTTTTCTGGCTCCTTCTGATCCCGACTCCCATTGACTTACGTTAAAATATTATGGTCCCTCTTTCTGAAAACGCTGCTGTGATCTTCGTCATTTTGGACTTAAAATGTTTGTATTTTTTCTCTGTTTATTCTATAAACAGTACTACAGTAAACAAAACGGTCGAGATGGATGTAGACAACAACAGACATTCTGTGTTGGCAACGATTCCCGAGATCGAGGATTTAAAGCCGGAACAAAGAGAATGTTTGGTGAATTTTATCAAGAGGAAAGACGTTATTGTCCTTCTTCCTACGGGATTTGACGGATTACAAATGTCACGACCAAATAGCAGCGATTGGTTAAATTTAAAAAAAGTCTGCCTACTATTGAATCCTAATGCTGTGAGGTCAGACGGTTTCTACGAAGTGAAACTTGCTGAAGAATCAGGCTAAATAGGAGCTGACATCATTAAAAACACCACATACTCTGGGCCTTTCCTATGAATAACTGCACATTACACTGGCAAGTTTCAGATTTTTCTTTTTCATTTGAACCAAAATGAGGGTCAATGAGAAAAGAAACAACTAACATGATTAAAAGCTCTGAAATGTGAAGAATAGGTTTGTTTTAAGCCTCTTCTGTTACTGTAAAACAACAGAACAGGTCATAAGAGCTCAGTGGTCATTATATTTTGGCTGATCCGTCCTTTTTCTTTTGTCTCTAAGCAGCAGAAGCACAGCGTTGTCATGTTGCGATGTTACCTGGCAATGACAAACAGCACGCAACTGACACCCAAGCAGGCGAGCAGAATATACATCCAGATGTCGGGGGACAGGGGGTTGAGGAAGGAGAAGACGCCGGGGTTGGTGCCGTTGGGTTTGCGGTACAGAATACTGATGCCCAGGGTCATGAAGGGCTTGGAGAAGTCGATGACCTTCTCCCGGACGTACGTGATGGCCAGAGGAGCCACGGCCAGGTCTGCTTTCTGTAGGACACACAGGGAAAAAAAAAACATGTTAGAATTGGTGTTTAAATGAAACCTTGTACAGTCAGATGGATTCTTGCAATACGTGTGAGTTCAAAAATTGATGAGGATCCATCGTGGCATCTGCAGCCTCCCTCCCCGGTGCGATAGAGACCAGGATTGAGTTTTTTACGGAAGCTAAAGGTGAAGTGCCCAAACGAACCAAAACAAACACGATGTATTTCTATTTTAGCACCAATACAGACGATTTAGTTTGTGAAAAACGTGCAGAAGATAAGAGCTTTTTGCATTTGAAGACAGGGAAGATGTCTGTAAACAGCAAGGCAAGTTAATGCATCTGATATAAAAATGTATTGAACAGATACATATGTACTCTAGTTTATGAAACTGTTGACCTTTTTTCTGGACCATTTTTGGTTCTAAAGTTCCATACGTTTTAAACAGACCATGTATGAAACATGGAACAAAAATTATTTCCCAAATTTCAAAGACCTGCAAATCATGTAAATAAATGGATGTATTTCATCATATCTTGTGTTATTCCATCTTTGAACTGTTGATGAAGGGACATGATTTTAAAAAAGAAAATGTATTTAAAATGATAAAAATTTGCTTGGAAGGACTGACATATTTTATAGAAATAGTTTCCTTTCATTTTGAAGTAATATTAAAGTATTCAGAAGAAAAAAGCGACAAATGATGTAAAATCCTGCACCTTCTACTTGTTTGTACAATTTTCACTCCGTTACTTTTCCCTCCGTTACCATGACCTTTCTTAATAAAAAAATCTCTTGAGTCAAAAAGTAAGAGGTTTTTCAACCTAATCTTGTACCATATGGTAGAAAACTATATGAAGCAAATATTCAAACCAGTTTGTTAAGGATATGTAAGTGAGAACCAAGAGTTATCACTGTTTGGATTTATTGCCCAAAAAGTGCTGCATATTTCATTCCCTCTGTTACCGACATGAGTTTTTAAATTTTTTTTGTCTTGAACTTGAAAGAATATCACAGGTTTAACTTGACCCTGTTGGAGTGTAACTCTTTCCTACATTCTGATACTTTACTTATTTCAATAGTCCCTCTAGTTTCTGAATAAGAAATCTGTCAAAAAATCTGCCCGTTTCCCTCCGTTACCACTTGACCAGACCCCTGGGCTTTTCTCTCTCGTCTGGATTTAACTAAAGTTTGATTTTCCGGCAAAGTTTCGACTAATCAGATTCAGATAATCGTCATGACGCTTCACCTTTTCTAATCTCTTTCAGCGAGAGCCATTTCAGACTGATACTGTTCAGAACTCACTTCAGACTGACACGCAGATCAATCTGGAGTGACAGAGTTTTCTTTAAAGAAAAAACTTTCACCTGCTTGTCTCAACTTGCCGCTTAAATCTGCAAAAACGGGTACAAATAAAGCAACCTAACCTAACCTCTTCATGATGTTGTTGCTTTGCCTGGAATGTTCCACAGTCTCACATTAAGCTCATCTAGGGCTACGTTTATACTGAAATAAATCACTGTATCGGAAACGTTTTGAGTCCAGACACGTCGTTTCTGTGTCCGCAATCCTTCCCTATCCACACAGCTTTAATCACATTTGTTTACGTTTTACAGAAACTAAATTTAAAACCACATGGCTCATTTGCATAAACTGAGCACTTAAAAAAAAAAAAACAGCTCGCTCCTTGTGCGCTGATGTGGTTCAGCTTCTGTCGGACTAAAGGACACGACTCAGTGGAATATGAGTGTTCTTTCTGTGACAGAGGCGTGTTCTGCTGATGGTGAGTCTGTTCTGTGTTTGGAGATGGTTCATGTTAAACTTTTCAGAGATTATACGTCTGCAGGTCGTACACACAGACACACGTTTATATGAATGGACAGATATTCTAGCCTGTTAGTGTTTTGGTGGTGAATTACTTCACGGTGCACAGACCTACATCAGAGTATCAGTGTTTTCAGGAGTCCACACGGTGCAGGATCAGATCTGTACTCAGATGTTTTCGTGGGAGGTGGAGGCATCAGATTGTTCCGTCTCTGGAGCCATTTTCAGTGGGATTAGTGCGAACGAACACTGAATCCACAATGAAAACGACTCGAATACAAACTAGTGCGGACGGGGCCTATGATTAAGCAAGTGGCACCACAAGCCAAGTTATAGATCAGATCTGTGGCAAGGCGACACTGTTCAGAGTAAGGCTACGTTCATATGAGGACGGTCTGAACAGAAAACGCAAAAGTGGCGTCGCGTCTTCACTTTTATTCCGCGTTTAGATGAGTGTTTTCGAGAGTAAATCTGCGTACACACGGTGACGCAAAAGTGTGTGAAATTCGACTGGTTATGTTTGTACTTAAAGCAACAAGAGCGTCTTTGGAAATATGGAAGTTTTGACGTCACACATTTTCATCAGCTCCTCCTTCCACAAAGTCGACTGGTTCTCCGGGTCTCGTCCATCACCGTCTGACTCGACTACAACGACCTGGTGCATCCAGAATTTGACAGAGGTGACTGCAGATCCTTTTCTGTTCACTAATAGAATCTCTGCACATTCTGTACATTTGTTGGGAGCCTCCTGTAAGTTTAGTAGAGCTGTCAGAGCAACTTGAAGGTCCGACATGTTTGTTTCTGTGCACTGTATGTTTGTGACGTAAACATGTACATGACCTGATCAGATCTGACCAGAGTTTTGCGTCTTGGGCAGTGTAGATGGAAACACTACGGTGGAGTGTATTTAACTTTTCCACTCTGGATGTGGTTTCAGATTTTTACATTTTTAAGCCCCCAAAACGCTGTCACCGTCTAAACGAAAGGCACTTCCGATAAACTATTTAGTCGTTCTTACCTGCAAGCGTTCTCATGTAAACAGTTCCTAAGAATATATTCTGCATTCTTGTGACTTTAATTCTATTTTAAACCTGCTTTTCGTCACTTTGGGATCAGTATTTCACATTTCAGCTGAAAATTATGTCTGTATTTGAAAAAAAATACACTTAAATGAATTCACCTCTGTTTCCAGTGAGGCATTTAGGGGTTAGAGCGCCCTCTGCTGTCAGGAGTTTAGAAAGTAAACAGTTGAAGTCCTTATCTCCTGTGAATGTTTAATAATAAAGTCTAATAGAGCTACTAGAGAAAACTAAAAACGACGACAACAAAAAAAAAACAATTAAATATGGGTTCTTTATTGAGATGAATAACTATTTCAAATTGGACCTTGAACCTGACTGTTCAACCAGAATATTAACGAATAACAAGAAGGGAAGAGCAGGGGGGAGGAGAGGAGAGAGATGAGGGGGTAGAGAGATGGATGGATGTGGTGAGAAGGAGAAGAGGAGAGCGGAGGAGGAGGAGAGGACTAAAGGGCCCCCGGGGGCCAATAAGAGCAGAGGAGTAATTGGACTAATGTTCCAGCAGACAGATGTTAGATCAATACACTCTCAGTCTGATCACAGCTCACATGACACCAACTCACACTCACTCTGCGGCTCTCAGCACATGTGCACGACCCGGGACGAATCACACATTTTACTTGTGTTTTTCAAAAGGTTCTGTAGTTTAATTTGAGCAAGAAGGTTTTGGGTTTGATTCCCGGGTCCCAGGTGTTTCTATGTGGAGTTTTCATGTTCCCAATGTGTCTGGATAGTTTTTCTCCAAGAACTCTGGTTTCTTACCACCTAGTGCCTCTGCTCAGTTTCATTTTTCTTCAGCGTCTGGGTCAGGAATCAGAATACAATAGACTTTATGGCTCGGTGGCCACATTGGGTTCTAAAATTTGACTGAAGGACCGGAGACAGGAGGCAGGACATGACGTGTTAAGAGCCCAGCTCCATTACACTCGTATCTGCGCTCATGAAGGAACGTATTCTGCACCACACGCTGTAACTTTTAGACTACATAAAAAGTGAATGAGGTCTACTCAGCCGCACACCACAACCTAGTGTGAGTCCTGAGTGCTTAGATTTCATAGACTAACAGAGCCCAAGCCCCAAGGCTACACATGTAAACAGTTACACATACAGTGTAACCAGCCCTATAAGACACTCCATGTGTTATGATTTATAACACTGCATCTGTAAACCTTTAGACTTTGCTTTAAACCAACTTAAAACAGAAACAGTGCAGCCTTATGTCTTGAACACTTCTACCTCACTCATGGTCCAAATATGCCGCCCACAAAATGACTCCTGTCACTTTCCCATAAAGCATTGCGACCAACATAATACGCTGCACATTAATGTATATATAGTGTGCCATCTACTGGGAAACGCCGGAAATGCAGGAAAAATAAAACATCAACAAGGTTTATTATTGTAATTTATTCAAGTTCGGTGGGCCGGATTAAAAGGTTTAAACAGCCGCATACGGCCCCCGGGCCATAGTTTGCTCACCCCTGTGCTATAGACGGTTTGCAAGAACCCCGGAAGTTGTAGACGGCGCACCGACCAATCAACGAAGAGCTATGAAGCTATGACGTCAAACTCAAGCGCCTGTCTGGGTCCCTTTTGTGGAACAACACAACAGTAAACAAAGCGGTCGAGATTAGGGCTGGGGATCATTAAGAAGTTGCCGATAGACAGTAAAAAAAGTCCTTCACTGGTCTGTTTCTTCCCCCATTAAGTTGTATTGACGAAATAGAGCTACTGCCGCTGAAAGTTTGGAGGTGGAATTGCATCAGTGATCATTGAATTCTCCGGGACACTTCAGGGGCCAATCGGATTAGAGGTGACCCCCGTCCTAGAACCACCTCTGATAGAAACAGATCAAGATTTTATTTTTAACATTTCATTTTTGTTCTGTTTTCAGGTCGAGCCGTGCCGTTCACTCTCTTCATTTCTCTTCTGATGTTGAAGTTGGTCTACCAGATCCTTTAGCCCTGCAATAAACAGCCAAACTCTTACAGTTTTTGGCACCAAGTCCAAATTTGTTTGCCAGTTGGAGAAGTTTTTCCAAATTTTGCGCTCAAGGCTACACAGTCTTGGGTGAGTGTGTGCGAGCGGATTCCAAGATGCAAAATGAAGTTTCTTTGGGAGTGAACGGCAGAACAAACACAAAACATTAACATTAAAAACAAAACATTAAATATAAAATCTCGATCTGTTTCTACACATTCTGTGAAAATGTTAGATTTGAGAACTGACAAAATTATTGGCCTGCGAAATAATGTCACATTTTTGGAACACCCTGTATATTGTGATGTTTGAGCTACTGTGCCCAAATAATTTCCCTTGTGGATCAATAAAGTTTGTCTAAGTATATCTTTCATCACTAACAACAACTAGCATGGTAATAGTGCACTTCCAGATTCTCTGAGTATAAAAAAAAAGCTTTACAAATAGATGCAGAGTGCACACAGCAGTTTCTCTTTGGTTTCAAGACCTGTTTTTGACACTTTCGACTTCATAGATGCATCACGAATTTTGGACGTCCGGTCACTGCACATTTCATACTGGGAAGAATTTTCCGAAAAATTTGAACATCAAACCGCCATGTTTGTTTTCCCAGTGGGATGCGTCTATTAAGAAAGCCAGACTTTTCAAGTCTTTTGAACCATATCACTTTTGTTTCTGGTTCTGAAATTGTCATGTTTTAGTTTTGGGATTCGGACATCGTAATTGTGTGGTTGTTGGATCCTAACAGCGGAAAACAGCTCGAGAAACAAGCTTTGGATGTTTGTCAACTCCATAGATGCAAAAAGGAATCAAATCTGTGTGACTGCAAACCTCTGTTCAAACTGTTTCTCTTCCCAACGGAATTGAAAAATAGTGATAGGTGAAGGTGATGGGCAGGATTGATCCACAGGAAGAACCAAAAAGGAAAACTTTGTCTGACTAAGAAATCATCCCAAGTTTACAGAGAACATTTTGTATGTGGAGTGACAACAAAGCGGGATCCTGTTTGTTAATGGAGAGGAGCAGAAGACAAACAGACTGAGCTGCACTTTCTTGTTCTTGTGGTTTTACAGCAACATCACGTCTTGGTCTCTTTGCAGTGGAAGGTGTTTCTTGGTGAACAGTTGGTGCGTTTGGCTTTGGTGTTGACTTTTTACATTCATAACTGAGGTTGGGCGAGGGATCGGGATTTTGCTTTGTTGGCGCTCCACATACAAAATGTTCTCTCCAAACTCGGGATGATTTCTTTTTCGTCCTTCCTGTGGATCAATTCTGCCCATCGCCTTCACCTTTCACTATTTTTCAATTCCTTTGGGAAGGGAAACAGTTTGAACAGAGGTTTGAGTCACACACATCTGATTCCCTTTTGCATTATGGAGGTCGCAAACAAATTTCTCAAGCTGTTTTCCGCTGTTAGGATCCAACAACCACACAATTACGACGTCCGAATCCCAAAACTAAAACATGACAATATCAGAACCAGAAACAAAAGCGACATGGTTCAAAAGACTTGAAAAGATCGATTTTGACAATAGATGCATCCCACTGGGAAACAAACACGGCGGTTTGATGCTCACTTTTTCGGAAGTTCCCAGTTTCCCGGTATGCATTGACCGTAAGTCCGAAATTCATAATGCATGTATTAGGCTAGAGGAAAATAACCATGTACTGCTTCATCAAAACCGACAGACTAAAGACGACCTGTATGTGTACTCACGTGGTCGATGAGTTCTCGCACCATGCCGTTCCACTGGCCCGTGCCCTCGTCCAGCACGCCGTAGCGCCCGTCCTCCACCAGGCGCACCTCGTACCTGAAGCCCAGGATGGCCGCCAGCTCCTTGAGGAGGTCGATGCAGTATCCCTCGAAGCGCTCGTTTCCGTACAGAGGCTTGTCCGACTTCTTGAACATCACGTACGGCTCCTCCTGCGCAACACGATGAGAGGGTTTGACAGTTGAACCACGATTGTGAGGTGTGTTTTGTGGTGCCGTGCTCAAATATAGTTACAAATATCAACGGCAAACGTGGTCAAGAATTGAGCCACGACTGTCGAAAATTCTGTCAACTGGGCAAGAGTTTAGTTTCTGCTATGGAACAGACACAATGCTTTTTTAACCTGGATTGAAGTGGTGGGTTTTTTGTTTTTCTTCATACAAATTTGTTAGAATCATGGCGATATCAGGAGCGATGAAACGCCATCGTTACAGTTCCGAGTGTTGGAACGAGCCCGGAGGTGCGCCCGCGTAGACCGTCGGGTGACCGCAGGCGAAAGGACCGGCGCTCCACAGGGCGAAGAGCACCCGACGCCCGATCGAGCTTTGGGGTTCTCTCAGGGACGCTCCTAGTTTCTAAGTTCTAGTCCAAGATTAGTCCTGGTTTTGTCCTGGTTTAGACCTGGTTTAGACCTGGTTTAGTCCTGGTTTAGACCTGGTTTAGACCAGGTTTAGACCTGGTTTAGTTCTGGTTTAGTCCTAATTTAGTCCTGGTTTAATCTCGGTTCAGCTCTGGTTTAGTCCTAGTTTAGTTCTGGTTTAGACCTGGTTCAGTCCTGATTCAGTCCTCGGTTCAGTCTTGGTTGAGTCCTGGTTTAGACCTGGTTCAGTTCTGTTTTAGTCCTAATTTAGTCCTGGTTCGGTCTTGGTTCATGTCTGCTTTAGTCCTAGTTTTGTCCTAGTTTAGTCCTGGTTTGGACCTAGTTTAGACCTGGTTTAGTCCTGGTTCAGTCCTGGATCAGCTCTGGTGTAGTCCTAGTTTAGTTCTGGTTTAGTCCTGGTTCAGTCCTGGTTCATCTTTGGTTCAGCTCTGGTTTAGTCCTGGTTAATCCTAATTTAGTCCTGATTCAGTCCTGGTTCAGGTCTGGTTTAGTCCTAGTTTAGTCCTGGTTTAGTCCTTGTTTAGACCTGGTTTAGACCTGGTTTAGACCTTGTTCAGTCCTGCTAGTTCAGTCCTGGTTTAGACCTGGTTTAGTCCTGGTTTAGTCCTGGTTTAGACCGTTTTAGTCTTGGTTTAGACCTGCTTTGACCTGTAAATGACACTAAACTGTAAATAAAAACACATAACGATGAAGTACACCGTGTACTTCTACTACAGCGCGAGTCGTTCGTGTGTGCAGTACTGTGTGTTGTTGCAGTACCAGTATGGTGGAGACTCGCAGGGACTTGTTGGCCAGGGAGTCGGTGATGTTGGTCGTCTTGCTCTTGTGGCTGTCCGTCATGTTGAGGCCGCTAGGGGGATCCCAAGTGCCGATCTGTGTCAGAGCGGATCAAGTCAGGTCAGCGCACACACACACACACACACACACACACACACAACACACACACACAAACACACACACACAACACACTCGTCTAAGCATTACAGAATAAAACATGATGTGACGCGTGACAGTCGCTCAGTTGGGAGATAATCGTTGGTACTGTATATAAAAATGTGACCGTTTACCTATTTAGCATGACTGTTACCTGGCAACCGCACTGTAAACAACGGCCCCGGCTCGTCTAATTTACATCATAATAACAACACCTTTATTTTGTCCGAAAAACGTCTTCCTTGAGTGTAAATTGTTCTTCCATTATCGTGCATGGAATATTGTGTATTAATGACATAAACAAAAGATTCATTTTTTAGAGCTCAGCGTTACTTCCAGTGATCAGCTTTTCTTTACAAATGATAAAACTAGGATAAATATTGAGCAGGTGCTACCCCACAAAACTACGTCAGAAATAGAAAATCATGAAAACCTGTGATATGTCGTGCTGTGTGTGAGTGTTGTGGAGGTTGGAGGGGCAGAGTGGCCACGTTTACATGTTATTTTTTATACTGTATTAATTGCTGTGAATAAAATAGTTCAGAATTAAAATATTCTTCTTCAAGTTTACATCCATCCATTTTCTTCTGCTTATCCGGGGCCGGGTCGCGGGGGCAGCAGTCTAAGCAGGGACTCACAAACTTCCTTCACCCCAGACACGTTCTCCAGCTCCTCCAGCGGGACCCTGAGGTGTTCCCAGGCCAGCCGAGAGACGTAGTCCCTCCAGCGTGTCCTGGGTCTTCCCTGAGGACTCCTTCCAGTGGGACATGCCTGGAACACCTCCAGAGGAACGCGCACAGGAGGCATCCAGAACAGATGCCCGAGCCACTTCAACTGGCTCCTCTCGACTCAGAGCTCCTCCCATGTGACTGAGCTCCTCACCCTGCGGAGGAAACTCATCTCTGCCGCTTGTATCCACGATCTCGTCCTTTTGGTCATTACCCAGAGCTCATGACCATAGGTGAGGGGAGGAACAAAGACTGACTGGTAAATCAAGAGTTTTGCCTTTCGACTTAGCTCCCTTTTCACCACTATGGTCCGATACAGCGATCGCATCACTGCAGACGCTGCACCGATCCACCTGTCAATCTCACGCTCCGTCCTCCCCTCACTTGTGAAAAAAACCCCGAGATACTTGAACTCCTCCACTTGAGGCAGAGACTCTCCACCCACCCGGAGACGACAAGACAACTTTTTCCGGTCGAGAACCACGACCTCGGACTTGGAAGAGCTGATCTTCATCCCAGCCGCTTCACACTCAGCTGCAAACCGCCCCAGTGCACATTGCAGGTCCTGGTTCGATGAAACCAACAGGACAACATCATCCGCAAACAGCAGAGATGAGATCCTGTGGTCCCCAAACCGGACCCCCTCCGGCCCCTGACTGCGCCTAGAAATTCTGTCCATAAAAACAATGATCAGAACCGGTGACAAAGGGCAGCCCTGGCGGAGTCCAACATGCACCATTCAAGTTTACATGGGAATAATAAATCCAAATTGAGGTTTACATGGAAAACACGTTAAATCGTCTTTATTTAATTTTGCACAACGTCTGGGTGTGGGGAAGGTTCTGATTGGACAGAGACACAAACGTATTTATGTCGACTGGAAGAAAAATGCAAACTTCAGCTGCTACCGGCTTGCGGTTTGTCATTACGCCACGGACACAAACATGATGCAAACTTTTTTCTCAGTCTTTCTGATGATAATTGCGCAGCAGTTGGAGAATTGTCTCATCATGCATTACGTCTGTCGGCTGAGGAGGAGAAGGGAAGAGTGTCGGAGAAGGAGGAAGAAGACAAACTCAGCCCACTCCCGCATCCCGCTCTCAAATCCAAAGAGAAGTTGATGAAAGTCCGAAGCCAGGACTAGTGGAGCCGGATTGAAGGGCGACACAACGAGCAAGAGCTGAACGACCGGGATTATTTTTAAGAAGAAGAAACATTTGCATGATCGAGGAATAAATTAATTAGGCTTTAAAATTGGAATAAACCACACACTTACTTTGGAATTAAATTAAATTTTCCTTAGAAATTAAGTGTTTACATGGTCTTATTTAAAGTGGAATTCATTTTTATTCAGAATTAATTTATTTTTATTCAGAATTAAAGCTCTCATGTAAATGTGGCGTAAGTGTGGAGTGAAGGAATAGTGCGCAGTAAAGCACTTTGGGTGTCTCAAAAAATCCAGTGGTTTAATTTTAAATGAATGAATTATGCATTTTGGCTACAGTCTGCTTAAGTCTGCTGAACCTGCTGTGTACCTTGTGTAGTCCGTCCTCCTTGAGGCTGATGACGTCCAGGTCGAAGTCTGTCCTCAGTCCGTTTGTCCTGTTGAAGAGGACACGTCCAGTGAGCCCGTCCCACTGAGCCTGAACACAGAGACACGAGAAATATTACAACAACCAGCCACATCAGCCCGTCACTGACCCTGCACTGCAAACAAGCCTTGTCAAAAACTTTAATCTATCAGAAAACTACTTAGGCTACGTTCAGACTGCAGGGCTTAACGCTCAATTCCGATTTTTTTGTGAAATCCGATGTTTTTGCGAGGTCGTTCACATTTTCCAATTAAATACGACTTGTATGTGACTCCAGTGTGAACATTAAACGGCCCTAAAGTGTCCCACATGTGACACTGGAGACACGACGACGTCAACCGCAGCGAGCGTCTCTGTGTTTACGGAAGTTGTCCAAACATGGACGCAGCATCGAGCACCTGGAGATTTTAAAGATCCTCTCGTACCGGAGTCAGAACATGAACACTTACTTGTTTTAAGGAGGAGACTTGTTTTAAGGAGGAGATTGAGAAGGAGAAGGACGAGGTTTTTGGTCGTGGTGTTTTGTGGTTCAGTCTGTTGAAATGAAACGTGAACGTGGATGTGGAGACGGAGCCAAAGAGTGAGGTGAGTGGTGATGTGCTTCACTTCAGTCACACGGACACAATTTTCGCCAACTTCCGCGCAGAATAGTGACGTTTGTGTTTGTTGTCTTGTTGATAACGTGTAGGTGGATGAATGCACTTTGACCGTTCAGACTGAAGTCACATGTCAAAAGATCAGATATGTATCGTATTTCAGTTCAGGAGCACATATCCAAGTGTCCTGGGTCACATTTGCAAAAAATCGGATCTGTGTCGTTCAGACTGACATTAAAAGATCAGATACAAGTCACATAGAGGCCAAAAAATCGGATTTGGGTCACTTCAGGCTGCAGTCTGAACGTCGCCTTATAGTCAAATCTGTTTTCACTGTCAAAGCTTTCCGCCCCTTTCACGTGAGAATGGACGAGTCAGCTTCACTCTGATTTGAACATAATCATAATCATATGTAATGGATGTAAACAAAAATGTAATTGTACCAGCAAAAAATAAAACTACTTTCAGCTCTGGTTTTCTAGTAGGCGACGAAACTCATAAGGCAAGTTTCCAATCCACCATAATTCAAATAAAGATGTGCATGTCTCGAGAACAAAAACCTCCCTCAAAATAACAAAACGGTGCATTATAGCTCGGGCCCCCAAACTCATGTTCACTTAGAGCCCTTAAATTATTAACTCCACCACTGAGTAAGTAAATAATAAATCTGAAAACATGACGAATAACCTGATATGAGTTTTAAAGTCTTGGCCAGATCACAGATATTCACGGTGCGCACACAGAGACACGGCGCAATGTTACCACATCCACATCGGCCCGTTTCACTGCGTCCAAATAAAAAGATGAAATAAGAACATAAAATAAATCATAAAACTGAAAATGAAGTGACACCAGGACTTCTTCATGTGTGTGAAAGAGCGAGCTTGAAGTCTCAAATCAAAGAGACGGAACAGAAAGACAGAGGAGGGGCTTTCATATCAAACACACAGAGAAAAGACAGAGAGAGAGAGAGAGAGAGAGAGAGAGAGAGAGAGAGAGAGAGAGAGAGAGAGAGAGAGAGAGAGAGAGAGAGAGAGAGAGAGAGAGAGAGAGAGAGAGAGAGAGAGAGAGAGAGAGAGAGAGAGAGAGAGAGAGAGAGAGAGAGAGAGAGAGAGAGAGAGAGAGAGAGAGAGAGAGAGAGAGAGAGAGAGAGAGAGAGAGAGAGAGAGAGAGAGAGAGAGAGAGAAGAGAGAGAGAGAGAGAGAGAGAGAGAGAGAGGAGAGAGAGAGAGAGAGAGAGAGAGAGAGAGAGAGAGAACAGAGAGAAAGAAAGAGAGAGAGAGAGAGAGAGAGAGAGAGGACAGAGAGAGAGAGAGAGAGAGAGAGAGAGAGAGAGAGAGAGAGAGAGAGAGAGAGAGAGAGAGAGAGAGAGAGAGAGAGAGAGAGAGAGAGAGAGAGAGAGAGAGAGAGAGAGTGTGTGTTATCATATCAAAGACCCAGAGCAGAGACAGAGGATCACTGAGAGAGAGAGAGAGAGAGAGAGAGGGGAGTGAGGGAGAGGGAGGGAGGGAGCGAGGGAGCGAGGGAAGAGTCAAACACAAACCTCCTCGGTGTCTGAGTTTCATTGATGATTTCACTGAGATGTTTTCAGTCGTGTGCAAAGACTTTGACGGTTTAGATTTTATGTACATGTGTGTGTAATGTATGTGACAAAAATGTGAAAGAGCGAGTCACAACGTCGGAGAGAAAACACACAACAGAGAGCACAGTCTGGACCTGCTCACTACAAAAGATGTAAATATCTGAAATGCAGTGTTGTGCATGAACGACTTCAAATGAACGTGTTCGTTGAACATGTTCATTTTTCAGTGAACTTTGAACTGAACGCAACACATTTGTAAATCAAGAACTTGAACGTGAATGTGTTCAAATGATGTGAGATGAACGACGTACGTCACTGTTGGGGGTCAATTAAATGTCAGAATTTGTTTTCACCTGAGTCGAGTGACAAAGGCACTCGTCAGCGTTGTCATGCGTAACGTCGCGAAACCACAGTCGCGTCAACGTGGAAAGTGGCTCCACGAGCAGCTGCAGCAGGACGAACACGGGCGGCTCTGGCTCTGTGTTTGTCAATGGGGAAAGTCCATCAGACTTGACTGGACGCATTTAGCCGCCAGGTCCATAGTGAAACTAACAGCTGAACAGACTTGTATTTACCTTCTGTACAAACTGACCACAGCAAAAGCCAGGATTTCAAAAGTTAATTTCAAAGCACTAATAACAGTCGTTCTGGAGCTGGGCTCCTTCACATGTCACAGAACTTCCACGATGTGCTGATGGTAAATGCCCAAACACAACAATAGATGCTCTCCCTATGCTCACGTAGAGCGTCAAAAAATAGGATGGATCCTATTTTCTGAAATCTCCGCACATGGGACGAGCTGCTCCGTACACACGGCGAGCACATGCAGTGGAGCCGCCCTCCTTCACTTTCACTACATTCTAGTTACACGTCCAAAAGTTGCAGTGACGTCCCTCTGTCACAGAAAGAACACATATGCTCCTGTCCTTTAGTGCAACAGAAGCTGATGCATCAGCGCAGTTTATGCAAATTAGTCATGCGGTTTTAAGTTTTTGCTTCTGTAAAACAAACTGTGTCAAAGCTACACATTAAACACATTATAATGTCAACAGGCTGATGTGGCTCTACTGTTCTTATGGTTTATATGTTGTAAAGTTGTTGTAAACTGGAAGTGAAAAATAAGTTCAGTCTTTCATTTCCATATCTCACCTAAAAATACAATGAACTGAACTTTGAACTAGTTCAAAATTAAAATTGTGAACAATGAACGTGAACTGTTCACTTTGAACATGAACTGAACTTTGAAATAGTTCATGAAAAGTGTGAACTTGCACAACACTGTTGAAAGGTCAGTGTGTTTGATGTTTCTCTGTCTGATCTTTTCTGTGTTTTCTTTGACTTGTCTGTTATTCCCAAACATCAGCTGGTCTTACAGTTGTTCATAAGAGACAAATAAATGAAAAAAACAGACACACTGTTCATGGAAATGATGGAATGACACGTTGAAATCGCTTCATGTTCTAATGTTGATGATTTGTTAAAATCTGTGACTGTGAGTGTTTTGATTGTTCTGGACGCCATAAAATGACTTTAAATGTTATTCGTTCATTTGTTTAACAAAATAAAACCAAAAATAAGAAAACAAAAAAGAACTATGTTCTTCATTATTTGTCTCCAAAGCCAAAAATTAAAAAATCGATTTAGTTTCGATCTTGTGTTTAAATGAAAAATGGGAAAAAATTGATTTCCTGTTTACGTGACTTAAACTGCAATGCCGGACTTCTGCGCCGCATACAGACTGAACCAGGACTAAAACAGGACTAAACCAGGTCTAAACCAGGACTAAACTAGATCTAAACCAGCTCTAAACCAGGTCTATACCAGGTTTATAACTGGTCTAAACCAGGACCAAACCAAGACTAAACCAAGAATAAACCAGGTCTAAACCAGGACTAAACCAGGAATAAACCAGGACTAAACCAGGACTAAACCAGCTCTTAAACCAGGACTAAACCAGGTCTAAACCAGGTCTAAACCAGGACTAAACCAGGTCTAAACCAGGTCTAAACCAGGTCTAAATCAGGACTAAAACCAGGACTAAACCAGGACTAAACCAGCTCTTAAACCAGGTCTAAACCATCCAAAACGTTCTGTTTCGCTGCGTTTGACTGAAAGATTTTCATTTTTCATTCCGCTCTCTTCTTCTTCTTCTCTCATTTAATCTCTCTTTTTTATTTATATGATGACTGTTTACGTTTTGATTTGTTTTTTATTGTGATTTTAATGTATTTCTTATTCTGTAAAGCTCTTCCAATGACTTTGTGGACGAACCGAGCTGCACAAATAAACTCGCCGTGCCAAGAGAGAGAGAAAGAGGACGAGGAGAGAGTTTTCATATCAAAGACTCGGAGCAGAGACAGAGAAAGAGAAAGAGGAGGGAGAGAGTGAGATAGAGACGTAGAAAAAGACAGACGGATAAGCTCCAGGAGTGATTTATGTTGGATGCTGAACAAAGAAAATGTCTGAGCGTGAAACTGAAGTGAAGGTCTGTTGTGTGTTTTCTTGTGTTTTTTTCTTCTATTGTCATTTTGTTTGTGTTTGTTTACAGAAAAATGTGGAGAAAATATTTTAAAAACTGCAGCGAGATTCATCACAATCAAATCAAAATCACAATTACATTTTTTTTCTGTACAAACAGGTTCTGAAATGTGATTCTTGTGTTTGTTTGTCAGGTTCAGAATTCAGTATTTCTGGCAAATCTTCTGAACGGTTTAAACCAGGTCTAAACAAAGACTAAACCAAGACTAAACCAGGACTAAACCAGATCTTAACCAAGATTAAACCAGGACTAAACCAGGACTAAATCAGATCTAAACCAAGATTAAACCAGGACTAAACCAGGACTAAACCAGGACTAATCCAGGTCTAAACCAGGACTAAACCAGGTCTAACCCAGGTCTAAACCAGGTCTAAACCAAGACTAAACCAGGTCTAAACCAGGACTAAACCAGGACTAAATCAGATCTAAACCAAGATTAAACCAGGACTAATGCAGGTCTAAACCAGGACTAAACCAGGTCTAACCCAGGACTAAACCAGGTCTAAACCAGGACTAAACAAGGACTAAACCAGGTCTAAACCAAGACTAAACCAGGTCTAAACCAGGTCTAAACCAGGTCTAAACAAAGACTAAACCAGGACTAAACCAGGTCTAAACCAGATCTAAACAAAGACTAAACCAGGACTAAATCAGATCTAAACCAAGATTAAACCAGGACTAAACCAGGACTAAACCAGGACTAAATCAGATCTAAACCAAGATTAAACCAGGACTAATCCAGGTCTAAACCAGGACTAAACCAGGTCTAAACCAGGTCTAAACCAGGACTAAACCAGGACTAAACCAGGACTAAATCAGATCTAAACCAAGATTAAACCAGGACTAATCCAGGTCTAAACCAGGACTAAACCAGTTCTAACCCAGGTCTAACCCAGGACTAAACCAGGTCTAAACCAGGACTAAACCAGGACTAAACCAGGTCTAAACGAGGAAAAATCCAGGACTAAACTAGGATGAACCAGATCTAAACTAGAACTGAACTAAACCAGGACTAAACCTGGTCTAAACCAAGAATAAACCAGATCTACACCAGGTCTAAACCAGGTCTAAACAAGGTCTAAACCAAGACTAAATCAGGTCTAAACCAGCTCTAAATGAGGTCTAACCCGAGACTAAACCAGATCTAAACCAGGTCTAAACCAGGACTAAACCAGGTCTAAACGAGGTCTAAACCAGGACTAAACTAGGTCTAAACCAGGTCTAAACCAGGACTATAAATCAGGTCTAAACCAGGTCTAAACGAAGACTACACTAGATTTCAACTAGGACTACATCAGGTCTAAATCAGGACTAAATCGGGTCTAAACCTAAACCAGGTCAAACAGGTCTAAACCAGGTCTAAACCAAGACTAAACCAGGTCTAAACCAGGACTAAACCAGGACTAAATCAGATCTAAACCACCAGACTAAACCAGGACTAAAACTAAACCAGGTCTAAACCAGGACTTAAACCAGGTCTAAACCCAGGACTAAACCAGGTCTAAACCAGGACTAAACCAGGTCTAAACCAGGTCTAAACCAGGACTAAACCAGGTCTAAACGAGGTCTAAACCAGGACTAAACTAGGTCTAAACCAGGTCTAAACCAGGACTATAAATCAGGTCTAAACCAGGTCTAAACGAAGACTACACTAGATTTCAACTAGGACTACATCAGGTCTAAATCAGGACTAAATCAGGTCTAAACCAAGATTAAACCAGGTCATTAAACCAGGACTAAACCAGGACTAAACCAGGTCTAAACCAGGTCTAAACCAGGTCTAAACCAGGTCTAAACCAGGTGCACAGCAGGTCTGCACCAGGTCTGCACCAGTCCCAGAGCAGGTCTTACCTCCTTGATGAGGTTGATGAAGCGTCCTCCAAACCTCCAGGGTTTGTGTCTGTTACACTGCAGGGAGCTGACTGTGATCTGAGACGCCTGCTGCACGGCCACGGCCACCACGTGCACCGCGTCGTACATCAGCGCCGCGTCCGTCTGGAAAACACACAAACACACACAAACACACACACGTCATTTAACCCGGACTCTTCTCTGAGGTCTACACACTGGACCGGTGTTTGTGAAGAGGAGGAGAGGCTGAGGAGGCTGAGCTAAATTATGGGAAATGTCTTTGCATCCTGAATTTCAAACTTCCGGTCATCGCGCAGTTCAATTCATTTATTTATTTGTTTGCGCCAGGTACAACAAAATTCAAAAACAATAATGAAGAAGGCACAAAAGTTTATGATCGTACAAAATAAACAGTCATGAGAATAAAAAAATAAAAGAAATAAATTCATAACATTACTATGCATTACTTTAAGTTACTCTCACCAAAATAACTTTTGCGCTGTATATGGACTGAACCAGGACTAAACCAGGTCTAAACCAGGACTAAACCAGAGCTGAACCAGGACTAAACCAGAAGTGAACTAGGACTAAACCAGAAGTGAACTAGGACTAAAACAGGACTCACTGTAGGACGGGCTCGAAGGTGACGCAGGAGAAAGGAGCGGCTCTGCTCCGCACCTCACGGAGGTAAGAGCGACTGTCACCCGATCGCTCTTTATGGACTCTGCTGCTCAGGCTCACGGCCCTGATTTCAGCAACTATTTGCAGGGACCCGAGCCGGTGCAAGGGTCTGTTACAGCGCGTAACTTCTACCTTCCTTCAACGTGTCCAGAAGTCCAACTTTTTGTGTGATGTTTAGCATCTTCTTCTGCCTTTTGGGTGCGAGTGCAGGAGCCTTTGTCGGTGCAGAATGTTTCGTCGACGTTGTGGGTTTTGTCAGGGAGAAAACTTGCAGACATACAGCACTTCAGAATCACACTGCTAGAGACTGAACATGTATTTAAATTTGGCAGCTGAACACATTCTGTACTGTACAGGAGACAGGAATCCCTTGGCCAGTCAGGACGCAGCAGGAGGAACGCAATACGCATTCATACAATGTGAAAAAAGGGCATGCAAAATTGCACAAAAAAACCCAAAAAAAACTGCGAAACAGCGAGACCGCGAAAAGTGAACTGCGATAGAGGGAGGGACGAGTGTAAACCAGGTCTAAACCAGAACTGACCCAGGTCTAAACCAGGTCTAAACCAGGTCTAAACAGCGTGGAGTTCTGTGTCAGTTCTTCCTTTTTACCTGAAGGTCTACGAGGGCGCATCTCCGGCGTTTCACCGCTGCTGATATCGAGGTGATTTTAGCGAATTTGTATGAAGAAAAAACCCACCACTTCAATCCAGGTTAAAAAAACATTGTAACGCGCGTTACTCACATTTGTACCCAGTAAAATATTACTATTTTTTCCCCTGTAATGCCAAACATTACTGCGTTACAGCAAAAAGTAATGCATTACTGTAATTCGTTACTTTTATAACGCGTTACTCCCAACACTGTTAGTCTTGTCCCAGCCTCGTGTGTTTGACTCTGTGTGTGTGTGTGTTCGTGTGTGTGTGTGTGTGTGTGTGTGTGTGTGTTTGACTCTGTGTGTGTGTTCGTGTGTGTGTGTGTGTGTGTGTGTGTGTTTGTGTGTGTGTGTGTTGTGTGTGTGTGTGTGTGTGTGTGTGTGTTTGACTCTGTGTGTTCATGTGTGTGTGTGTGTGTGTGTGTGTGTGTGTGTTTTGACTCTGTGTGTGTGTGTGTTCGTGTGTGTGTGTGTGTGTGTGTTGTGTGTGTGTGTGTGTGTTCGTGTGTGTGTGTGTGTGTGTTGTGTGTGTGTGTGTGTGTTCGTGTGTGTGTGTGTGTGTGTGTGTGTGTGTGTGTTTTAAACGTGCAGCCCCTACAGTGTACAGAGCTGATGGGTCTTGGCAGGTCCCCGTGACCCTGTGTCCCCAACGAACAGTGACTCACAGACGCACAGAGAGAAAGAAAGAGAGGAAAAAGAAGGAGTGAAAGAGAGGAACAAAAGGAAGAGAGAGAGAGAGAGAGAGAGTGACGGAAGAAGAGAAAGCGTCTGGAGATAAAGAGAAGAAGAAGAGAGAGAGAGAAGAGTCTGATCAGGTCGTACAGTTAAAGCGTCCGGTTCTACTGTAGTTTCCGCATCACAAACACTGTTGGGCGACTGACTTTAAAACTGTGATGAGTTTATTTATTTTTTTTTATTTATGATTTGTTTCTGTTGTTTTAAAGTGATTTGTTAAATTATAATATTACTGTGTTTAAAATGTTAAATATTAAACGAACTATTGCAGCGATTTAAAGTTACTCTCAACAAAATAACTGTGAAGATGCTGACGTTTTGCGCCGTATATGGACTGAACCAGGACTAAACCAGGACTAAACCAGGACTAAACAAGAGCTGAACCAGGACTGAACCAGGACTGAACCAGGACTAAACAAGAGCTGAACCAGGACTGAACCAGGACTAAACCAGGACTAAACCAGAACTGAACAGAGCTGAACCAGGACTGAACCAGGACTGAACCAGGACTAAAAGAGCTGAACCAGGACTGAACCAGGACTTGAACCAGGACTAACCAGGACTAAACCAGGACTAAACAAGAGCTGAACCAGGACTGAACCAGGACTAAACCAGGACTAAACCAGGACTAAACCACTAAACAAGAGCTGAACCAGGACTGAACCAGGACTGAACCAGGACAAGACCAGGACTGAACCAGGACTGAACCAGGACTGAACCAGGACTAAACAAGAGCTGAACCAGGACTGAACCAGGACTAAACCAGGACTAAACCAGAACTGAACCAGGACTAAACAAGAGCTGAACCAGGACTGAACCAGGACTAAACCAGAACTGAACCAGGACTAAACAAGAGCTGAACCAGGACTGAACCAGGACTAAACCAGGACTAAACCAAGACTAAACCAGGACTAAACCAAGACTAAATCAGGACTAAACCAGGTTTAAAACCAGGACTAAACCAGGTCTAAACTAGGTCTAAACCAGGACAGAACAAGGACTAAACCAGGTCTAAACCAGACCTAACCTGGTCTAAACCAGGTCTAAACCAGGACTAAACCAAGACTGAACCAGGACTAAACCAGGTCTAAGCCAAGTATAAACCAGGTCTAAACTAGGTCTAAACCAGGACTAAACCAGAACTGAACCAGGACTGAACCAGGACTGAACCAGGTCTAAACCAGGACTAAACCACGTCTCAGCCAAGTATAAACCAGGTCTAAACCAAGACTAAATCAGGTCTAAACCAGGTCTAAACCAGGACTAATCCAAGACTGAACCAGGACTAAACCAGGTCTAAGCCAAGTATAAACCAGGTCTAAACTAGGTCTAAACCAGGTCTAAACCAGGACTAAACCAGAACTGAACCAGAACTGAACCAGGACTGAACCAGGTCTAAACCAGGTCTAAACCAGGTCTAAACCAGGTCTAAACCAGGACTAAACCAGGTCTAAACCAGGACTAAACCAGGTCTAAACCAGGTCTAAACCAGGTCTAAACCAGGTCTTTGTGGAAGGAGTATCTGATGAAAATGCGTGGAGTAAAAACTTCCGTACATCCAAAGACGCTCTTGTTGTCTTTAAGTACAAAATAAACAGAATAAAAAGTGAAGACGCGACGCCACTTTTTAATCTTCTGTTCAGACACGTGTGAATGAAACAAACACAAGTCCAGGTCTGGTTTTTTTGAGGAGGTAAAAACATTATAACAGGTCTTAAAGTTCACAGGAGTCCGTTCAGTGTGATCCAGGAGCTTTAAAGACAAATCTGAAGGACCTTTCAGAGCCGATTTTAAAGCCGTGTTCTGATAAATGTCACACGATGATCTAAAAGGACAGAGGAGCCCAAACCACAGCCCGGGGCCCAAACTCGGCCCTCACACCCGTTTTTGTCGAACTGGCTCATAAAGCGAAACCTTTTACTCTACACAACGAACCACTAAAAACGCACACAGAGCAGTCAGGGTTCCCACGCTCATGGAAATCCTGGAAAAGTCATGGAATTTTGTGAATTTAATGAAAGTTTCTTAGTATCTCTTTCACGCAACGACAGCGTGATTATTTCTGAACGTCTGCGGCTTTTAGGATGATGGGTCAAATGCAGAGGGCAGAAGTTCAGGTGAAGGATGAATGGGTCAAATGGACAGAGCAAAGTTCCCAGGATGAAGGATGGGTCAAATATAGAGTATAAAAGTCCCAGTGAAGAATGGGTCAAATGCAGAGGGCAGAAGTTCAGGTGAAGGATGGATGGGTCAAATGCAAAGTATAAAAGTCCCAGGATGAAGGATGGGTCAAATGCAGGAGGCAAAAGTCCCAGTGAAGGACACACACACATACATAATACAATTTCCTCAAACTGTAAATATAACAGTAAAACCTGGTGGTACTTTTCATTATTATTATGATTTTTTAATTTTCTTTTTTTTCTCAGAACAAACACCTCCAACCCGACGCCACAGCAAACGATTCATTCAGTCCCTCACACTTCGTCGTCTGTGTCACAGAGAGAAGAGAACAATCATGACTGTGTGAATCAGGTAAAAACACAAGATGAAGACAGAAATAACACTGATCAAATACAAAAAAACATTTATGTCTAATCACAAACTATTACTACTACTACTACTGCTACTGCTACTACTACTGCTACTGCTACTGCTGCTGCTGCTACTGCTGCTACTGCTGCTGCTACTGCTACTGCTACTACTGCTACTGCTACTGCTGCTGCTGCTGCTGCTGCTGCTGCTGCTGCTACTACTACTACTACTACTACTGCTACTGCTACTGCTACTGCTACTGCTACTACTACTACTACTGCTGCTGCTGCTACTGCTACTGCTACTGCTGCTGCTGCTGCTGCTGCTGCTGCTACTACTACTACTACTACTACTGCTACTGCTACTACTACTGCTACTTGCTACTGCTACTACTGCTGCTACTGCTGCTGCTGCTGCTGCTGCTGCTGCTGCTGCTGCTGCTGCTGCTGCTGCTGCTGCTGCTGCTGCTGCTGCTGCTGCTACTGCTACTGCTGCTACTGCTAACTGCTGCTGCTGCTACTGCTGCTACTGCTGCTGC